CCCCGCTGAGCCCCGCCCCCGGCCCGGCGCCCGCACTACCCCGGGCTCATAAGGGTGGGGTGTAGCCCCGGGGGGGGCCCAAGGTTGGGCCAAAACTGTAATATTGCAGTTTGGCCCAGGGGGTGCAGGCTGCAGCTGCGCACCCCCCTGTATTTTTTTATTTTTATTTTTATTTTTTTTAGGATTTTTTTTTTTAATTTTTTTTGTACTTTTTTTGCCGGGGCCAGGGGTGCCGACCCCCGGCCCCCGGGACCCTCGCCGGGGCCCCAGGGCCGGGGCTCGACAACCCTGCTATAGACAACCACCCCTTGGTTCGTCGGAAACACTTCCCATCCTTTCTGATCCCCGTGACTTAGTCTATTAATTTTACGGACATGGGGAGGATACGTAAGAAGGGCAATCCTCAAGTCATGGTGATTATCGACCGCTTCTCCACATTTCTCAATCTGATTCCTTTGCCGCCACATGCACCAACTGATCTGGTCATTGTGAATTTGAGCAGAAATATAATTTGCAGTTCGGATCCCAGAAAACTCTTATGAGTGATCAGGATACCCTATTTATGAACTTAGATTAGAACGATTTCACAACCGTACAGGATTAAATTGAGCATGACATCTTGGGCGCCATCCAGAAGCCAATGGACAGGCTGAAGAGATCAACCAGATCGTCACCTACTCCCCCCTGCACTACTCATCCTAATCAGAACTCTTGAGATGAAGAGTTGGATGCGATGAAGGGGTTGGATAACAACTTCATTCACTCCAACATCGGCATGCCGCCCAACAGGCTGCAGTATGGATGGCAGATCCACAACCCACTTTCGTTCTTGTTTCCTGACCGATCTGCTGGCCTGGCTACGGGCCAAAGCACCAGCGCTTGTTCAAAGTTGCGATGGGCCGATGGCAGCAATGAAGTTCGTCAACCAGTGACAGACCTGCAACTTTCAAGGAAGGGGATTATGTTTGCGCGAAAATGTTCGAGTTTTCGAATGAAAACTCTATCCATATACAGCTGCTACTTCCTTTCCTGATCGCGATCCTATGATCCCTCTTGCTATTTATGGCGGTCTCGAAGTCGACAGAATCGTTGTGCACACTCGCAAAGGAAAGGACAGACAATATCAAGCCTATTTTCTTTTTTTTTTCTTTTTCTTTCTTTCTAAAAAAGGGTGACGGCCTTGAGATATTATCATTGAGCTGACCGGCCCCAAGCAATTCATTAGTAGTTCAACTTAGTTTTACTCGTCAAGTTCCATCATCTGGATTCGAACACAGGTCTGTATTTCAACAGTTCATGGGTGTACCCACTGAGCTAGGCTCTTGGGTGTCAAGCCTATTTTCTATATCATCCTCGGAATGAATTTTACTGGATATCTCGGAAAGTCTTACCAAAGACTGCACCTCGTGCAGTGAACACTTACGATTGCCATGCACATCTTGCTACTTATGAACAGACAGCAGCTCCTTTGCAATTACTATGTATGATGCATTCTGCAGGGACTCTGTCGAGTCTAGTCGCTTGGAGGTACCTCGCTCTTAAACCACCAGTACTTCCAAGGCACTCCTCTCCAATGCTGGAAAAGTGTCGCGCATACAAAATAAAACGAACCAGTGCAACTTTCATTTGGTTGGCAGTGCCAGTTACTTTGCTCCAGAACCCGAAGCCCGAAAGCCGTGGCGCGTGCATGAAAGGTGCCAAGTACGGGTGGTTTAAGGTGGGGGCGATGTAATGACCTGCAAATTGCAGATAGAGAAACCTGCTGTTTTCTGAGTTTTGCAGCTTGTTTGAGTGACTTGCTGTGATCCCTGTATCCTACTGAGCTTTCTAGGTTGTGTGCAGAAGATTGCTGAGTTTCCGTGTCTTTGCCTGCCTGCATGATTGCATGGGTGTGTCTGTGACACACTGGGGTACTTGTGTGCTAAGGAGGCCTACGAGCCTGGTACTTACCTGTGACCGTGTTCATGAGCGGGTATTAGAGTGGCTGAAAAGTTGAAAACACTCACGTACCGTAGGTAGGCCCAAAAAGATGTATTCTTTCACCACCATCATTTTTTCTTTCCCATTAAGAAATTCTGGTTGCATTTTCTTATTTTCATTGTCGGAAAGATCATTAGTCAATCTGCATTCCTGAAATTTTCCAGATCCTTTCATCAATTTTCTGATCACAAAGAATGGACAAACTTGGCGCACTCAACATTTCGCTGTAAGCAACCAAGCACCCATGGTCAAGCCTACCAGCCATTGTCAGATCTTCAAGATCATGCAGCCTAAAAATTCTGCCTTTCCAAGACTTTGAGCCCCTCTTGGGGCTCCAGTCTCAAGGTACGACTGGTCCTACCCTTTTCAAAGGTACTTGTTCTACAAGCAATAGCTGTGCGTCTTGCATAGCGGCCAAAGGACTGGTCCCTGCACAACCAAAACCCCATTCTCAATCTCAACCCCATTTCCGGGCGGTGAGCCGCTCTGAAAATTCAGGCAATCTCGCGGCATCCCACTAGAGCACAGATTAAGGGCTGCGAATATCATGCAAAAGGCTGCTCACCTTTCTTGAGCCCGCAGTAAAGGGAAGGGGGGGGGGGGGGGGGGGGAAGCCTCCAGTATCATTGACACTAGTCTTTTGACTATAGGAATCTTTCCGAATAAGCTATTAGACCAAAAAAAAAAAAAAAAACTTTTCTTTTTGCAGCAAAAAAAAAATGCTGGCTGCAAACAACACAATTTTTTCTCCCTGCTGCTACCTGTAGGACCACATCGCTCTGGTTCCATGGGTCAGGCTCAGAAAGCGTTTGGGGCAGTGGTGGCCCTCCACTGCAGCATGGAAATGTCATTGCAAAACAGTCAATTGCATCAATCAACGTTAGGAGCCATCTGCGCAAATCAGAGGCCATGCCCATCTATGTGTCACCCTGGGAGTCGTCGATTTCCACAGCCGTCAACAGAGCTCGCGGCTGGTTTGAGGCACTGTTTCGTCGGAATTTCACCGACTCATCAGGAGGTTGAACCTCGACAGTCTGATAAAAATACCAAAGCGCCTATGGTGTGGAAAGGAGGCAATTCCTTCCAATTTTGGCACCTAGTAAACTGCCACCAGGTACAGACCACCATACTGTACCTTGCTGTGTGGTATTAATCTCATCTTTCCCATGAGGGCAAAGTAGTCACATAATGACGGTGCTCAGCTTAAAATGTCGCTGCTAAGGCACCCTATACTGCATTATACAGGCTATCTTTCCAGTGTGGTACAGCCATAATGAGGATGCTTGTGTTCGGTGGAAGACGGCAGCGTTTTAAGCCAAGAGGAACAGATGCAAAAGAGAACCACGACGACCATGCTGTTCGGCATCTACAGATCTGTGCAAACGACACACCACAATCAAATCAATGGCAGAGAAGGGAGTGAGGATCGGGGGGAGATTCAACCAGGAGAACGGGTTCACCAGATCCTTCAAAGAGGCCAACACACTCCAGCATAACCGGTGGACAGGGATCGCCAACCAGGTCATCAGGTTCACCAGAGTTTAGAAAATGATGAAAAAAAAAAACACTGCAGATCCACAGTGAGACTTAATCATCTTTGACTGAAAACACTCACTTGCACCTACCTTTCAACTGTTCAAATCCCTCTCTCTCTCTCTCTCTCTCTCTCTCTCTCTCTCTCTCTCTCTCTCTCTCTCTCTCTCTCTCTGACTGCAGTCTGGAACTTTGTGCGACACGAATAGCACTACTACCTTAAAGCACCATGGTGACCCCTTCTATGCACTCCAGAATCACAGCCCATGGTAATCACACCCACCCACAGTATGTGCTCTCTAACTCTCCATGAAGACTTTAGCTCATCAACAGCAAAGCCCTGCACACCACCACCCACATGCTTTGACATCTGAAAGCCATGTTTTCTGGGATATCTGTCTGCACCAGGCTATTCAGACCATCCATGAAGCTTTCGGATCACGGACAGTAAAGACCAATGTACCACAAAAATGCTTTCACATGTGAAAATCATGCCATCTGTGATATCTGTCTCAGCTGCGCTATATCCAGAAGAATGCCCGCAACTGTGCACTCGGGATGACTGCTTCCACGGGCCACACCTAAACCGTTTTTAGTAACTTTTCACCTATGTATTACCACATATCTGCAGCTCGATATCCCCCCCCCTTTCTTCCTTTGCTCCTTTCTCATCTCCCTTTTTCCTTTTTTCCTTTTAAAAGGGCAACAGCCTTGAGATATCATCATTGAACCGACCGGCCCCGGAACAATCTCATTCTGGTCATCTGATCGTATCCGGATTCGAACTTGGTGTACCAACTGAGCTAGGCCTGTCTGTTTCCACGACAAACCAAAATCAAACACCTCCACTAAAATCCATCCAAACCATATGCACAGAACAATTTTCATCTCCTCCTCAATGCATTCCCCGTCTGACCTGAAAGGACGTCCATCCCACAACCCAGGCCATTTGCGCATATCACACGATTCTAAATGCCTATGAAGTCAACGGAAAGGAGGGGCAACCATGCTTGCCCTTGGCCAAGTGCATGTCTGCAGAACCTTGTTTTCAAGTGCTTGGTAACACGAGTATGCAGTCAGTGGCATGACATTTGCGCAGACAGGAGGAGGATCGCATACCTCCCAGAAGTCATCCGCATCTTCATCAGGCCTTGAAACACCATGTTTTTTTCTGTAGTCTTCATTACAGTGTCAACAGATGAGCACAACACATGGACTAGATAAGTTTACAGTTATGTCCGCACAGTCCTACTGCCAACCATAAGGGGCTGGTTAAGGCCCAGAATGGGGAGGGGGAAGAGGTGGCGGTAGGCAGGTGGGGGGAAGGGGAGGGGGAGGGGGATGGGAAGCAGGAGGTAGGAGGCAGGTGAGAGGAGGAGGGAGGGAGAGAGAGGATGAAGAGGGGGGGGGAGGGAAGGGGATGGGAGGAAGGAGGGAGCAAGCCCGGGTCACACGGGCAAACCGAAATATGTAGTATTTTCTTTTTTCTTGAAGTTCGTGGGGCATTTCTGCGCCCACCAAGCGGTGACCAAATCTGACCTTATCTTTGATTTTGGTCACCTTCGGGGGTTTGGAGGGCATAAATGGGGGCTTAAAGGGATTTAAGGGGGTTCAAAATGGGTGCACCATTTTTATTTTTATTTTATTTTCTAATTTCAACATAACAAGGAATTGATAATTGACCCTCGGCCAAAAGTTGTGAAACGGTATTCACCAGTTCGCAGTAGCCGATGCAGATCCCAGGGCTCGATCCCGCGACCTGTGTATTTGTAACAGCTGATAGGTCGTCGTAGGGTCCGTAGGTAGCATGGTTTGATCTGTAGACCTGTCGGTTAGGAGTCTTAGTCAGGTTTAGAGGTCGTAGCCACAGCTTTTCCGAAAGGTGAAGGTCGTAGCTAGTCCAGTCCTGAAGAGTCAAGGTCGTAGCTGCGACAGGACCGAAAAGGCCAAGTCCACGGCCTTCTAGAAGGTCCCGGTGGTGGCCTTTCGAGGTTACCCACATTTAGGTAGAGGCAAGTGGGCAAGTGGTGGAAGTCCACCATGCAGAGTCAGCAGTCCCAGTCTAGTCAGTCCAGTCCAGTCAAGCAAGTACCGCCTGGGACTGTGTGCACTGTGGGCCAGGGAAAAAGGGCAGACTGACGAGTCACAGAAGTATAAATCAAGAGGCCGCGCACAGCCATTCATTCATTCCTGTGGAAGCCATGCGGAAGCGCCGCCTCAGCGGCTTGTGCAAGGAGGTCTGCAGCAGCCCGAAGTCGAAGTGGGCAAGAAGGGTTAGCATAGCGATAGGTTAGTGGCGGCCATAGCCGCCATAGCTGTAGAAGAGTGCAGAGAGGGTGTGTGTCAGTGTTCAGAGTGTCGCGTGTGGGATATCCAGGGTGATCCGGTGTGTGTGAACAGCGAGTTGTTGGGCGCTGAGTCACCATCGCCAGTGGGAGTGAACTCTTATCTGGACGCCATATCTCTGAGTTCTGTGTGGGCGCATGTCGCCAGCTTGCTGCAATGCTGTTTACATGCATGAAAAGTGTGAATGAGACGAGTCTGATTGCATTGGTATCGGAGCTGGTACCCGCTATTCCATGCGCATTGTCGTGTGCAGGGCCTGAAGCGCCATAGCGGAGGTGGTAGCCGAGGGGTACAGTCCGCCATAGCGGACCTGAGGTTGGAGAAGCCGCCGCGCACCTGCAGAGAAGATCACGACGAAGAAGAAGATTGAGAGAGAGAGAGAGAGAGAGATGAGCGATACAAGTTTGGTTGTCACGTACCTGTGAAGTGTTGTGCAGTCCCGTGGAGAAGAAGAGTGCGGCCATAGCCGCAGAGCTTGGACACGAAGGGGACGAAGGGAGACGGAGTAGAGAAGGAAGGAGGAGGAGACATCGAGGTGGAAGACAGACATAGCCGAGGGTGAAAAAAAAAAAAAAAAAAAAAAAGAGAAACAGCGAGAAGGAAGGAGGG